AGAGGTCTTTGACAGCAGCTTTCCCCAGAGCAATTCGTCTTTTGATTTTGTGATTGCTGTTGCCCAGACTGTTAAATATGAAGCTGAGCAAGTTGAAACTGTTAACAACCTTAACCTCTATCTATCATGGTGCTGCTAACTGGTTCAGGGTTAAGAATCTTCTTTATGTTGAGTTTCAATCCATATTGAAGACTACAGTCCTTGACCTTCTGCAGCAAATGCTCAGGTCTTCTTCAATTTCAGCAATCAAGGTTGTGTCATCTGCATAATATGAGTTACTTATTAAGTCTTCCTGATGCCATATTCCTCCTCAAAAAATCCAGCTTCCAGAATGATCGCTTCCACAAACAGACTGAAAGGGTTTGGAACAGGATGCATCTCTGACTCACTCCTTTCCTGCTTTTTAACCATGTAGTGTTTCTTTGCTCTGTTCTGGCCACTGTTTCCTGGTACAAGTACAGGTATCACAAGAACACAATCAATTTTCTGGGATTCCCAGTTTCTTCTTAAGGTTAGCCACAATATGTTGTGATTTACACAGTAAATGACTGCAGTCAATGAAACACAGACAGAGATGCCTCTAGTACTCTTTGCTTTCAGCCAATGATGTCTTGGGTTTTGGCAATAATGTCTTTGGTGTCAATGCCTATTCTCAAGCCAGCCTATATTTCTGGTAGTTCTCTGTTGATGCAACTGCTCCAGTCACTTTTGGATAATATTCAGCAGGATTTTGCTTGCGTATGATTATCAGTGATACTACTGGATAATTTTCACACTCCGTTGTGTCACTCTTTTTTGGAATGGGAACAAATATGGATCTCTTCTAGTCAGTTGACCAGGTAGTTGTCCTCAACATTTCTTGGCACAACCTGGTAAGAACATTCAAGGCAGTATCTGTCTGCTGAAATATGTCATTGGTATTTCTGTCTGCTGAAATATGTCATTGGTATTTCATCAAGTCCTGGGGCCTTGTTTTTGGCCAATGCCTTCAGAGCAGCTTGAATTTCCTTCTTCATCACCACTGCTTCTTGATTATATGCTGTTTCATGAAAAGGTTCTCTGTCAATTTTTTTTTGGGGGGGGACGGACTGTTCCTCTGTGTACTCTTTCCATCTTCTTTTAATGCTTCCCTGGATCATTCAACATTCTATCCATAGCACTGTTGTTGTTGTTAAGTGCCATCGAGTCATAGATGACTTACAGCAACCCTATGAACGAACCTGATCGTTTGTCTAACTTTCATCATTTCTCCAAGTCCATAGGGTTTCCGGAGGCAAGATATTTTGGAAGTGGATGCCATTCCTGCTTCCAAGCTTGTTTTAACTGGGGAGCTCCACCAAACACTGTCTATAATGGACAACCACTATCATATCATTTGATATGTAGTGTCACAGTGTTTAGCATCACAGCAACCATTAGTTCCATTAATAATAACTGGTAACTGGAATGCAAAAGTTAGAAACAAACAAAAAGGCTGGCAATTAGAAAATATGGCCTTGGTGGCAGAAATGAGGATGGAGGTTATATGATAAAGTCTTTCTTCTATCAATGATTTAGTCATTATGAATACATTTTTTTTAAAAACAACAACAACAAATGGTTATCATACACATGTACCTCATTTGACAGAATACACAGCAATCAGACATACTCCATCTGTGGAGAAGTACCGTGGAAAAGCTCAATGTCAGCAGTCAAAACAACGTCAAGGGTTGATTGTGGAACAGGCCATCAATTATTCATATGTAAGTTCAAACTCGGATAATCTGCTTTGCATACAGGTTGAAAAGGTATGGAGATAGGACACATCCCTGGTGTACACCCTTCCCAATTTTGAACCATGTGGTGTTACCCTGAACTGTTCTGATGACTGCCTCTTTGTCCAAGTATAGGTTTCACATTAGCACGATTAAATGTTCTGGGATTCCCGTTCTTCCCCAGAGTCAGCCACAGTTTGTTATGATCCACACAGTCAAATAAATGCCTTTGCATAATCAATGAAACAGACATTCTTCTGGTATTTCCTGCTATGAGAAGTGTGGCATCAGGATTAGTGGAAGATCCATTAACAATCTGAGTTATGCAGATGACACAACCCTGCCTGCCGAAACTGAGGAGGACCTCATGCACTTGCTGCAGAGGGTCAAGGACTGCAGCCTTCAGTATGGACTGAGGCTCAACATCAAGAAGACAAAGATTCTCACCACTGGACCAATTGGTAGCATCAGGATGGATGGCGAAGAGATTGAGATTGTTCACAGCTTCAGTTCGCTCGGCTCCACAGTCAACACTCTTGGCACCAGCAGCCAGGAAATCAAAAAGTGTATCGCGGTGGGAAAGTCTGCTGTTAGGGACCTCTCTAAAGTACTCAAGAGCAATGGTGTCTCTCTGGAGACGAAGGTGCGCCTGATACAGGCCATGGTCTTTGCAATCACTTGCTATGCATCAGAGAGTTGGACAATGACTAGGGAGGACAGAAGGAGAATTGATGCCTTTGAGCTGTGGTGCTGGAGAAGAATATTGAGTATTGAACCATGGACTGCCAAGAAAACAAACAGATTCATCCTAGAGAGGGTTAAACCAGGCTATTCCTTGGAGACAAGGATTCTGGGGCTTCGTCTGACATACTTTGGACATGTTTAAGGAGAGACAGGTCTTTGAAGAGGGACATCATGCTTGGGAGGGTGGAGGGACAGCGCAGGAGGGGAAGACCCTCTATGAGGTGGATTGATTCAGTGATGGGTAATCGGGATGGGTGTGTCAGAGGCAATGAGATGGCACAGGATAGAGCAAGGTTTAGGGCTGTTGTACATAGGGTCACTATGAGTCGCAAGCGACTCGACGGCACATAACAACAACAACAAGTTAAAACTCAAAGTGAGGAAAAGTCCACGTGAACCAAAATGTAGGCTTGAGTTTATTCCACCTGAATTTAAAAAGAACCAGAAGACTAGATTTGATGCACTGAAACGTGATGATCGAAGATCAGATGAGCTGTGGGGTGACATCAAGGACATTGATGTCATGAAGAAAGAAAAAGGACTATAAAACAGATGTCAGAAGGGACTCTGCAACTTGTTCTTGAATGTCTAACAGTTAAAGCAAATGGAGAAAATGATGAATTAAGAGACTGATGATGCAGGAAGCATCCAAAGAAGATGGATGTACAGTGCCACAAAGTCACTGTACCTAAAAGAATTGGCCAACAGTGAATTATTTTAGGAAGTAGCGTATGATCAAAACCAAATGGTAATGATGAGGTTCAAACTGCACTGAAGGTCTTGACAAAAAATAAGGCCCCAGGAATTGATGGGATACAAACTGAGGTGTTGAGGTAAAGAGACAGAGTCTTGGTTGTGCTCACTAGTCTATGCCAAGAGATTTGCAAGCCATATATCGGGCCAACTAACTAGAAGGGATCCACCTATTTAATAAAAAGGTGATTGATCCAATAAAGCATAGGAATTTAGGAACATTATAAGCACATAAAACTGCACTGAAGATTATTCAAAAACAGAAATGCAAGCCAGCAAAGTACTGCCAGAAATTCAAATTGGATTCAGAAGAGGCCACTGAACAAAGGACATCACGGCTGATGTCAGGTAGATCCTGGCTGAAAGGAGAGACTACCAGAAGAATGTTGACGATGTAAAGACATTTAACAATGTGGATCATAACAAACTGTGGCTACTATTGAGAATTATTTGAAATCTGTACTTACACTAAGAAGCTGTTAATCAAACAGAGAAACACTGCATTGTTTAAAATCAGGAAAGGTGTCTGTCAGGGTTGTATTCTTTCCCATAGCATTAGGGACAATGAAAAGATATGTAGGGGCTATGCATAACACAAGGGAGCTCTGTTAGCTTAGTAGTAAGGAGTTGGGCTGCCAACCCAGAGGCAGGTGGTTCGAATCCACTAAATGCTCTGTGGGAGAAAGATGAGCAATCTCCTCTTGCATTATGTGCTGTCCCTAAAATCCTGCTGGAGGGTCCGATATACACTGGTCTTGATGCAACAACAATATAGATATATAATAGCAGAAAGAACACTGAACTATTGTTCCTCCTATAAATTTAGTTGTAGTCTTAGTTCTCATACTAAGTACTCTATACTTAACATCTCTGGGTCTCATTTCCTTATTTATAAAGTAAAAATATCATGTAACAGGCAACTTCCTTTCCACATATATGATTCCATATCAGTAGGAAGTAGCAAGAAAAAAGAGTAATGCTCTTAAATGCATTTAAGAAACACAAATTAAGAGATTCTTTTTTCCCCTCACATCAATTAATGAATGCTTACTATGTACCAGAATTAAAACAAAATGAATGTGTCTAACAAACTTAAAATTAACTGCTTACATGTATGCACCTCAACTTTTCCTTACCAGTAAAATCTTACATCATGTTTCTTAAAGTGAAGGCATCAATGAGAATGATAAAAATCTGTTTTTGATACACACTGTAGCATGTTTTCTGTGTTGATGTTTAGATCTTTACTACAGAAAACATTTTTAATTAAAATCACCATAAAAAAATTAACATGGCTAAGTAAGAAAACAACTATCTATCATCTTGCTAATTAAAAACAAAAAATATTTCTCTTTCAGATGTGGGTAGTTGTTGTTCATTATCCCTAAGTAAATATGAAGGAATGGAAACCCAAAGTGTGCAGCGTAGAATTGTTTCCAAGGCTGTGACCCTTCAGAAGCAGATCACCACACTGTCTCCTGAGGCACCTCAGTAGGAATTTGAATTACCAACCTTTTCCCTAGTAGTCAAGCACTATACTGTTTGTGTCACTTAGGGCTACTTCAAAGTTGGGTTACAAAATCTAAATTTTAATTATCCCTCCCTATATCATTTTACATAGCTCTGAGGTGACATACATTTTATAATAGGATTCTGGAGAGATGGTCACCAATGTCACAAGATTTTTTAAAAAAAACCTTTATCACTGCACAAGGCATCAGCAGTACTGTTAGGACCTTTACACACCTTCGTCTCTCCCTGACCTCTGATGTGGAGGAGACAGTGCCAGCAGTAGTTGTAGTCAGGGTTGTGGTAGAAGCTGCAGCATTTACAACAGTTGGAGCAACAGGAATGGTCACTGTCGTAGGAACATTGTCTTTTTCTTTTTCAGTACTATCCTCAGCCCACAAACGATTTGAGGTACTAGAGCATCATAAGCAGCAACACAAAAAGAGAAAATAAACAGCTAAACAATGAAAGCACTTTCTAAGAGCTGAAAACATATGACTTGAGGGATGGATTTTTTTGAATACAGAAGCCAGACATCTTTAAACTATGAATCAAAAAGCTCACAAGAAACTTACATTTAAACAATCAAATCAAGGAAAGTTCATAATTTAGGAATGTACTGTCCACCCCTCAGCATGCATAATTATCTCTTTTTGGTACCAATTTTTGTTTGTAAATTTTAATAAGAAAAAATGAAAAAATCCAGAGTCCCACAATCTAAACAAAAATGCATGCACGTACATAAGCACACAGTAGACCTGAACACGAAATCTATTTGTGGCTTACCTGCTTTGTGTGCCTGCTGAGGAAGAGCCCGTTGTAATCTTTGTAGTAGTGCTGGTGCTGGAAAGCAGGCCTTTCTGAAGCCCAGCTGCAGAGGTAACTGTTGGTGCTGATGTGGTGCTTGGAACACTAGAACTAATCAAATCATCTTGTCTTCTACCAAAGGAGCAACTGAAGGAAAGAGTCATATCTATATAGGATGTGTTTCTACGTTGATTCTACAGTTAACATTGATTATAAATTGTACACATTCATAAAGCAAATAAAAATATATTTTTTTTAAAAAAGTTACAGCACCAAGAGTTGTAGCAATAGAGTCTAGATACTAAAACAATTTGGTATTGTACCATTATACTTTTCTCCTTGTTAGCAAATCTTATGATCTGATCATTCACATTTCTAGAACAGCTTCAGACTGGTTTTTTTTTTTTTTTTTTTTCAAAAAAATAAAATTTGTAAATTTTACAAAAATATTTAAAGTCCCCAAACATAATATTACCAATATCCTCAATTTGATAGTATTTTCAATTTGAGCTGAGTAGAAATTTTAAAGTTTACTAAATGATGACAAAATCATTACATCACTGACATAGTTCAAAAGTTAGTCAGTCAATTGCAAAGCATTTCCTTTTAAGATACTCCAGAATTTAGTTAAGTTAGAAATACAGTAGAAAAAGCTTATGTGGGAGTACATTTACATTTATTTTTATATACAGTTTGTGCTTTTAAAGAAAATTTTATGTAAGCAATAAAAAGAAAATACTTAATAAAAGCATGCATTTGCTTATATAACATTTAAATAAATTTAAAATATATTTCTATTTATTAAAAGAATAGAAAAAAGCTCCTTAAAAATGACTGTATTACCTTCTATGATAAGGTGGTCCTTCATTAATTGAGCTATTCTTTTTGAGATCATCTTCCCATTTTCTTCTTGTGTAAGAACTACTTGTTCTCAAACTGGAAGAGTCTCTGTAAAAGAACATTTACATTCTAGTCAATAATTTTAAAATAGTACTAAGAAAGCTGTACCTTAATATTATAAAAAGTGAAAACTGGTAAAATTACTTGAGAAAATACTAACAATTATTAAGGGAAGCAATTTCTGTTCCAAGTCTCTGTCCCTAAAATAAAATTCTAATCAAGATAGACATTTAAACATGTATAACATGAAGAGATTGTTGTTTAACCTCAGCAGGTTAGTCTAAGATAATGCTTACTTATTATATGAATTAACACAAAGTTCATATACAAAATTGGGTATTATGATAAGCTAACCTTAACTTACAGAAACCCTGCAAACAGAATAAAACTGTTTGATGCTGTACCACCCTGATAAACTCTATTGTGCGTAAGCCCACTGTGTCAATCCATCTCGTTAGGGTTTTTTGTGATTTTTTAAAAATTTCTGTACATGTCCTGTCAAACTGGATCTGACTGGTACAGGAGGAGATTGCCCCTTCTTCTTCAGCAGAGCACCTGGAGGATTTGAACCATGGATCTCTGGGATTGCAGTGCAGCTTCTTGCCCCTAGGCCACCAGAGCTCCTAGCAGATTTGCCTACTGCTAAGGGAATTGTGGATTCAAATAAAAGGAAATTGCAACTTCAATCCCTTCTGTACCCATGTTGCTTATCAATCCAGTTCCAAGGACTTCCATTTTCCTTTTGTGGAGATATAAATGCTTTTAACTCTCTTCACTTTCAGCGAGTAATCTGCATATTCCAGGTTGTTGAGGAATCTTCCTTAAATCCTAATGCCACCTGCTTCTACATATAATTCAGTTTCAAAACTCATCTGCTCAGCATACATATGGAATAGGCATGGTGAAGGATATCACCCTGATGCACACCTTTCCTTATTAGAAATTGCTTTATGTTGGCAATTGCCGTTGGCTGGCTCAAATGGTTGCTTCTCATTAAAGTTCTTCATGACCACAATCAAATGTTTTGAAATTGCCATTCTTTTAAATGTTTTCTGTAATTTATTATAACTATATTAAAAAAAATCCCTGCAAAACTCTATATCCTGAAAAATCAGAACAAACTCTTGACAATGGTTACTGTAAATGTCTTTTAAAAATGTATTAATAAAAATAATGTATTAATAATGTGAAAAAGCACTTAAAGAAAATGCACAGCAAACAGTACTATAGTAGAAAGCATTCTCTTTTATAAACTGGCATTCAGGACATCCCATATTCCTATCTTCAAACAAATACAGGAGGTATTCCTCAGTTTCTCTGAATGTCTGTCTCATCGTTGTAGAGTCAGAATTTACTCACAACTGAAATTTCTCAGGCTGGGAAGACGGCCAATGGGAGAAGATTGCGTATCTTTCTCTTGTGGAGCCACTAGTAGATGTGAATGTCCAGAGACACTTTGCCTTTGGGGTTAGCAATGCAAAATCCATGGTCTAGGACACCAGAGCATCCTTTGAATTCAGAGAATGTATTGATAACTTATGGATAATATGTTTGAACATAGACATTTTCATTTACTAAATGAACAAAAAATGGAATTGCTTGAAATACAATCACCACCACTGCCATCATAAAAAAAGAATAGATAGATAGATAGATAGATAGATAGATAGATAGATAGATATGTGTGTGTGCGCGCGCGCGCGTGTTTGTGTGTGTATAGATCAAGTTAACGGTAACTACCAAAGCACTTTAAAAGACACTTAGTTTGGAGTTACCAATTCTGTAATGTAAGATAGGCAGAGTAAGATATCACCATCACATTCTAATTGTAACCACCTCTGATACAATATTTTACAGCAAAAAGCCAGAAAAAAAAATCATTGTCAATTCACCTGTTTTCTTTCTCTTCAATGTCAGATGTACTACCTAGACGTCGTGGTACTGTAGGAGCAGCACAAGCAAGCCTTGTTCCTTTATTGTCTTTCTCCTGCATAGTAGGATAAAAAAAGGGGAGGAATGAAGGAATAATTTTGCAACAATGTAGAATTACAGAGTCATCAGTTTAAAGCAATTCCAGACTTCATTGATGTCCATCAATAATCAAGTATAAGAACTTAAGCACAGCTTGTTCAAATGAATATTCCTTTAATGATAAGAATTAGATAATATAGTAATATAAAGAAAAATTTCTCTACATTTTAAGGATTTTCTCTCCTAACATGTCTCTAAATTCCTTAATAAATTTATGAAAATGTAAAACATGTTAAAATTATTTGATGAGAAATATTATTGAGGAATTTGTGACAAAGAAGGAACCATTTCTAAACAGCAAAATAAATGATACAAGAAAAAAAAAATATCCAAGAATTGAAAATGCAGTAGAACATGAAGATCTTAAATACATAAAATAGTTTTAAATAAACTGGATAATTATGGTATAGATTACCTTTTCCTTATTATCCAAAGAGGAGGAAAGTCTGGGACTTGAAGCTGAACGCATAACACCAGAGATGTCTTTTTCTTTTTGAGCCTCTTTGGATGCTGTGATTTCAGCAAGTGCACCATAGCTGCCAGTCTTCCGAAGTCCTGACCTCCAAGATGCAGGAGACTCATCTTTTCTTTCTTCTTCTTTGGGAGAGATTCTAGCAACTGAAGTTGGAAACTGTTTTTATTTAATACAAAAGAGAAAATAATTACAAAGACTTATTAGTCTTCGAGTTGAAAATGAGAAGTAGTATGTCTAAAATTATAGTTCCTATTTCAGAGGAAAGTAAAACAAAACAAAAACAAAAGAATCCAACTTCTTACTAAGTAGGTTAATGTCTTAGTAAAAAAAAAAATAATGATCTAAAACTGAACCCTATCCTATCCAGAAGTTAGATTTTACAAAACACACTCCACGCTCTATATATTACACAGAAAAATTATGATGCAAATAGAGAAAACAGAAATGTGCACACCACCAGGACGTATAAAACCATGCATCTTTGGACCCTATTATTTATTATTATATTATTTATAATATTATATTAAACTTGTTATATTATAGCCTAACATAAATCCTTGCACATAAAAATGCCTCACCATAGATTTTTCACCCTTATTGGGCACAAGAACAATGCCAGTTTTGCGCAAGCCCTGCCTCCATGATGCAGGATCTACTGATTCCACCACAGGCATGATGGGAGCAATGAAATCATACTAAAGCCAATTGAAATAAGACAGGTAAAGAGATACAGATTGAAAGCATGAAAATAGAAAATGGAAGTTTAAAAAAAAGCGACTTTTTCTTTTTGAAAGAGTATAATAAACTGAAGCCCAATTTTCAAAAGTACTAGTAATAAGTTGTAGTTTTAACATGAAATAATTGGAAAAACCCCCAATAAAGAAGTACCTAAGGTAGTTAAAGGAACATAGAGTAGATGCTACTACAGTACGTGAATTAAAAAAAAAGGACACTATTTCTATTTATAGAGTTTGACTTTAAATTACTTGTTTTAAAATTCAATAACCAACAGAAATTAAATTTCCAATTACAACAATTAATTTTATATATAACTGCCTTTTTCAACAAGTATTAGGTCTAAACGTAACAATTAAAAGTTATTTTTATGAACAAAAACATACACTGTCAGTTTCCAACAGTTCTAAAACATATTATTTTTAACTAGCGCATTTTATCAACTTACAAATTATATTCACTTACAGTTAAATACAGATAAGTGCCTATAGGTTTAAGTAGTTGTTAAAAAGTGTATTTGATACTTCAGAAACTTCTTTCTTTCATATTTATTGCTACAGAGTGTAACAACAAAATTCAGAGTTGCTGTGGAATATTTTTACTTTTAAGAGAAGTAAAGAGACATCTGTCCCACACTGTTCAAACTAGTTAAGTTGTCAAAGATTTCTTTTGACTTGGACTCACAATCAAAATGCATGGGAACAGTAGTCAAGAAAACAAAAGACATGTTGCATTGGAAAATATCTGTCAAGGACCTCTATAAAGCTCTAAAGAGCTAGGATATTAATTTAAAGATTCAGGTGTGTCTGTTCCAAGTCACAGTATTATCTATTGCTTCTTATGAATCTAATAAAGGTTGGATACTGAGGAAGGAAGACCAAAGAACTGATGCCTTTGAATTGTGGTTGTCGTTGTTATGTGCCATTGACTTGGACTTGACTCACAGCTGACCCACTAGTGAGTTTCAGAGGCTGTTAACAGCATAGGAAGATTGCTTATCTTTCTCCTACAAAGCAACTGGTGATTATGAACTCTATTATTTTGGATTAGCATTATAACGCATCAAATGAACACACATCTGTGTTGAACTGAAGGCAGTCCAATTAGGATGCACTAAGCCAAGATGATGAAACTTTGTCTCGCATACTTTGGCCATGTTGTCAAAAGGGATCAGTCCCTGGAAAACAGTATGACTCTGGGAAAGGTAGAAGGTCAGTTAAAGAGAGGAATCGTCAAAGAGATAGACTGTCAGAGAAACAGTAACAGCCTCAAGCATGTCAGAGTTTGTGAGGATGGTGCAGGACAGGACAAGGTTTTGATGTTAATAGGTTTGCTATGAATTATAATTGACTCAATGGCATCTAACAACAGTTTATTCTTAAACTGTAATTCTTTAGCCTAGCCTGAATTTCTTTTACACACAGAATGTATAATTTTTTTATCTGGAACAGGAAATTCAAGTCTAAAACAAACACCTTTACTTCTAAATCAACTTTGCTTCTAAATTCTGTAATTTCCCACTTTTTTAATAACACCATATTTGAAACTTTAATAACACTATATTTGAAACTTCAGTCATATTACATTTTTCTGACACCTTCCTATATACAGAAACTGGATGCCAACACTCCATATTATCACTTCTTCTCTATAAACCCACTAGCACCACTAAGTTTATATCTTCACCACCCTTCTTTACAGCCACTCCAATGACTGTCTATAAACTTCTCTCTCAGCCTCTTACGTGAACCACACACTTGTACATTATTGCCAAAATAATGTTCTATAGAGAATGATTCTCCTATGGCCATGTGTTCAAACACCTATGATTTATTACTTCTTATTATCATTAACTATAAAGATATTATCCTAGAAATGATGACATTCCACAATTTGAACTTAATTTTCTAGTTTTATTTTCTGAGTGTGGATTGTGCATTTTTCACTCCATATATCGATCAAACACAAATCATAATTCACTCAAAACTGATCATTTTCTTGCAAAATGTCATCATATCCAAAAGATTACCTCCATGTTGCTTATTTCTTCCTTCCCTTTCAAACTGTACATTCAATCGCTCTTCTTTCGTCTAGTTAAATATTACATATTGATTCTTCAAGTTCGACTTCAAAAGTTCAGATCTCAGCAGATCAAATTAAACTGCATTTCTTCTACTTTCTTTTTTTTTTTTTTCATTTCTTCTACTTTGTAACCACTGCTATGTGCTATATTTGTACAGTTATATTAATGTACTTTATATATCTATAGCATACAGCACTCTTCTGGTAGATAATTTTAGTGATTCAATCTAATTAAATTAATTAAAACTTTTATTCTCAAATAATTCTGAAGGAGCTTTTACCATAGAGTAAACCAAAACAACACTAAAACAGAAAACATGTAACAAAGTAAGTAATCTGTTTGGGTATCTGAGTATACATTTTGGCCAGAGACTTATGAATACTTATTGTTAGTTAAAATCTCAAAGAAAAAATTTAGAGATGGTAACTCCAGAAATCATATGGCCTGAACATTTATCTTTTGAATTTTGATTTGAGTAAAAGTTTACAGAGCATATTGGATTTTCATTCAATCAGCTTGATATTAACACTCAGCAACAACTGTGGCTAGAGAGTGAATTTTAAAGAAGATAATTTAGAGTGAACATAATTCTATCTTCTGTAGTTACTATGGTTTGTTATAGAAAATAAGTGAAATGTATTACTCTTTTATTAGTTTCTTTCTTTTGGTGATAAATTCATTACCATTAGCCAGTCTGCCTACCTACCTATCCAGTTTACAAACTCGTAGGGGAAGCTAGAGAATTTAAGAATTTATCTAAAGACACAAGAATAGTGCATGAGAATTTAGAGGTAGCTAGAACTCTTAACTAGAAAATATTTAAAATGCATTTGAAATTTAACAATTAGTTTAATTAAAGTTATACCTGTTAGGCCTTTAAGCTAGAGGTAAATATTAAAAACATGTTAAAATGCTGTATCAAAGTAAGTAAAGGAGTACCAATACACTGAACACACAACAGACTTTAAAACCATACATTACTGGTAAAAGGATTCTCCAATATATTAAAATAATACTTCAAATACTTTGTATATCATGACTATCATTTTAACACACTTGACCACAATATCAGGTCAATCAAGTGAAAACAAAAACATACTTTCTACTTCTCATTCTCTTAATTACCTTTCAAAATTAGAAATTATTTCAGAGGCAATTAAAATAATTTGGTTAAGTTCCAATCTGAAAAAAAAAAAACCTGACAAAAATCTAATCAGGTAAATTTATTAAAGAATTAAAGAAAATTATTGCAATGACATAAAAAAATAAGATCGACACAATATAACCTTCAACATAAACGATGATGCTTGAAATTGAGAATAAAAGGTAGTCTTTAAATATGCAAATTATAAAAGCAGAGGATTGCTATCAGTTTTTATGGCAAACACTATTGACCCATTACATGAACCAAATCCACTGCTACCTAGTAGATTCCAACTCAGTGACCTAAACAGAACTGCCCTAGAGGTTTCACAAAGCTGTAGATTGTTATATGTTTCTCTTACAGAGCAGTTAATATGTTCAGAGCAGTGATCTTTTAGTTAGTGGCCTAGCACTTAACCACTGGGCCACGATGAAGTATTTGCTTTCAATTAAAGAAGTGGAACATAAATAAACTGCCATAAACCTGGGCTACATGAAGAAAATAAAACTGATTATTATTGTTGTTGTTAAGTGCTGTAGAGTCGTAGATGACCCATAGCTACCCTGTGAATGAAAGTCTTGAACACAAAATTGTCATCTTTTCTCTAAGTTCACAGAGTTTCTGGAGGCAAGCTTTTTGCTTTGGAAGTGGATGCCACTCCTGCTTCCAAACCTGACCATAAGAAACAGTAATAACTACTCTTTGTCACTGAGTCAGAACTAAGAGCTAACTCTGGTGGGTTTTCCAAGATGGTAAATGACATTGGGAGAAGACTGTCCATCTTTCTCCTTTGAAGCAAGTCTTGGATTCAAACACCCAGAGTTTGGATTAGTAAGGCCTCTACTTATATATCATAGCAATTAAGAAGTGTACTATATAATTATCTGGATTTAGTGGAAAAGGGTTTGGACAGCCAAACCGTCAAAAGTAATAGAACAAATTTCTCACTCAGATACTCTGAGTAATGGAGTTTATGAGCACTTCAGGCAATCCTACAGATTCATAGCCTCATTAAACTGATGAGGGTTGAAATAAATTGGAACTGACTTGAGGGCCCTGGGGTTTTTAATGACAAAGTATGTGAGACAAAACTTCACTATTTGTGCCTCCAAGTACACTCTGGTTGCACTTTTCCCAAGACATATCTGCCTTTTCTTTTAGCAGTCCACGGAGATACTCAGTATTCTAACATCACAACTCAAAGGCATTAATTCTTCTTCTGTCATCCTTATTATTAATTGTCCAGCTCTCAGATGTGTAGTGATTGAACAGACCATGGACAGAAGCAGACACACCTTACTATTTTATGAGAAAGGCATGTGGCTCGAATCCACAAGCTGCTCTGTGGCAGAAAGATGGGACATTATCTCCCATTGATTTATGATTTAAGTTGTTGTTGTGTGCCGTTAGAACCGATCTATAGCTGACTCTCCAGGAAGTTTTCAGAGGCAGTAAGTCACATAGGAAGAGAATGCCTATCCTTATCACACGGAGCAGCTGGTGGATTTGAACCTTACACTCTTGCGACTGCAGTGCAGCTTTTTACCAAAACCTACTGAAGAGTTAGTTTTAAATCAGTCCTGACTTGATGCTACATAATAACAATTATATAGTAATTAAATTTCCAAAGTGTGATAATCCTATTGTGCAAAAAAATAACACATCTGTGCAATTAAGAGACAACATAAACATTTAAGCATTTATAGGTGAAATGAAATTTTTTCCTCAATAAAGCAACAAAACAGTGTGTGCGTATGTTCACAAAGAAGGAACTAAATGTGCTCATTAAAAAGAAAAGGCTGAAGAAAAGAGGTTTTAAAAAGAGACAAGTAAAAAATAAAAAGATTCTTAATTTGCATTTTAGTTATAAGAGGAACAAGGTCTGCAGGAGTAGGGAAACAGAGCCTTTCAAAAAACCAACACATTAATTTGAAAACACTGCTTTGATGAAGAAAAGGAGGTGAAAAGCAATAAGAACAGAGAGAACTGAGGAGATAAAACCAACATTTTGGAAGTACTTAGTCACTAGCCAGGATCTATTATTTCTAATCCAACCCCTAAAATACTAATTTTTCCCAAGGAACACAGTAAATAACTTATTCAAGGTCAAAAGAATTATGGATAACCAAAAGCTCAATTCTGGTATATTTGACAAAGATTATGTTCTTGTTGCCAAGTCATAGTTCCATGCTTAGAGCTTTGCACTATGTGTTAGAAAACCTGTATTCTCATTTTCTTATTGACTTATGCTGGTAATTTTTGTGCCTAAGTTTGTTACTTATAAAATTATCAATATATACTCTAACAGTAAAGAATATAGAATATGCATTTTACAAAATAAATAAATCAGCATAACTAAAATCTTTCATGGTTACTAATTATAAAATTATGGAAAGTTTTGAATTTTCTACTATTTATTTTTGTAACAGTATTTCAGATGGTTTTAAAAATACAATAATTAAGGAACTATCAATCAAACTACAGAAAGAAAATACATTCTTATTCTAAAATGAAATACACTTGAAATAAACTATGAAAAACAGTGCTATTATAATGTCTCTCTTAGTCTAAATGATTCTTGAATAGAATACAGATATTTTAGGCAAATACAACTTTGGCTTACCTTCTTAATAGGTGATGAAGGTGTTGCTTGGCCAGATGTCACAGTAGGTGTTGTAACAGCTACAGGAGCTGCTTGTGTACTTGTATTGGCATTAGTTACGGAAGACATGGGTTTTGTCTTATCTATTTGAAAAACACAAAAACAAACAAACCAAATGTAAAATTGAGTTAAGATTCACTGGCTGGGAAATGTGCTTCTGTACTTTTGAAAAAGATGGTCTGGTGGTGTAGTCCATAGTAAGCTGTGCTGCTACTTCAAAGGCTGTTCCTCTCTGACATTTTGAATCCACTAGTGACCCAATAGGAGAAAGATGGGCAACCAACGCCCATGAGATATAGAGTTTCAACCTGCTGGAGGGTCAGCTATGAGTTGGTTCCAATTCCACGTCTGTGACTTTGACTTTTTACAGTTCTATAAAACCCTGTGTTTTATTCATACTCATTATATTTACCTCTCTCTTTATGTCTGCCCCATTTTTCAAAGAAATCTTATACTTTGAGTCCTCATCATTGCATGCTTCTATACTTTTACATGTACTTAAACATTTTTATTTATGGAGTAAACATAAACTTTCCACAAATAGTTATGAACTTGTAATGGTCAATCTGTCCTCTAGTTCTACCTGTGACTTATAAATTATCTCTAAGATGACTAATGGTGAAAAAGCATAATACACCAAAGCTCAAGGTCATATGTCATTATTTAAAATTTATTGTATCTGTAGCTCTCCAAATGAACCAAATGAAGGCTAAATTTAGTCTAACAAGATTTTCCTTACTGCTTCCATTCAGGAGAGGTCATATTTAACATTAATCAAAACCAGATTCACTGCCATGAGTTGACACAAACTCTAGGCAACTTCCATGAGGACACAAAGGCTGTAAATCCTTGCAAGAAACAGTTGGTGGATTAGAACTGTAGATTTTTCACTTAGAAGCTCAATATATAACATCACTATGCCCCCAGGGATTCTAGATTTAACAAAGTACAAATCTTATATAATTTAACTGACCACATTTCCAGAAAAAAAAAAAATTCTGATTGTGGAAAGTCACTCAAGGAATAATTACTGCTTGTATACTTGAGTGCTGGGGATATGGCTGTGAATGTGAAAACAAAGTATCTTCAATTTGTAGTGTTTTTATTCAGATGAAGGAAATAAACAGGATAGGAGAAATAGAGAAATGGTAGTTTGAAAGAATTAAAAACAAAACAAAAAACACACAACCAAAACACCACAAAGCCCTCCCCACAAAAAAACGAAACTCATACAAAAATCCCCTTTACAAATCAAAAATTACCTCAAACCCCAATAGCAACTAATTAAAACAGTAAAAAATTCAATGTTGTTTTTGATTGCCTTCAAGTTGAGTATGACTCATAGTAACTTTATGAACAAAGGCCTGAAGCCCCTCTAAAATTATTGACATTTATCGAAGTTCATAGATTTCAAGAGGCATGTTGTTTAAGAAGTGGATACCACTCCTGTTTCCAATAGAACAATAACTGAAACTGGGCTTAGATAATATTACACCTGAAGCTCTCTCATTTTCCCAATGAATATTCATTTTTAGGTCTATGATACTGGATTGTTTTCCCAGGCAACCACATAGTTTATCAGAGGCATCTGATATCTTGTTCCTAAGATTTACCAGATCTAGGCTGTCAGAGTTTCAACAGTTAGCCTTTTCCTATTCAGGCATGGAAAACTTGTAACAATAGGGCAGGGGGGGAAAGGTATCCTTAAACTAAAATTTGTATATATTTACAGAATGCCTGCCATGGTCTAGGCATTGGGACTTGGTCCTGGGGATGGAATACAAGTTAAAATATAGTAACTTTCATCAAAGATGTCCCAGGGGGAGAAGAAATGATTATTCATAGCTCATCAGTTAGACCCATTTGTTCCACAGCTAGCAATCATCCCTGCATATGGTTTTCCCAGCAATATACTTAATAGAGTGGTGTTACTTGTCGGAAAAAAGTCATCTCATACTAAGCACTCACTGTCTCCTAGTTAACCTGATTCTATCTTCTTTCAAAAATTTTATTTTAGTAAAATCAATATACTGAAAGTATGATGCGTGTGTGTGTGTATATATTTTTTAAAAAAATATCTTTTCATTATCAAAATTAAGAACTATCAATTTGATTCAGTAAAGAATGCAAACTGCAAACTGTAGAGGAGTAGAAATATGGTTCCCCTTCCCTATTCTATAAATTTAGAAATAACTTGAGATAACCAAAATCCTTAGGCTGAATTCTTATTTGTACATAGTTTATAAGAAACTAACATTGAAGAAAATGTGGTTAGGTAAATAAATCAGCAGCAGAGTTGTAATAGATAAGTTTGTACCTAGGAAATAATTTTAGAAAACCAAGGTGGGAAGGGACATTAAAAATTGTCAAATCCAGCTGTAGCTCTCCAGGGGAAGCTCCTGCTTTCTTAAACTTACCAAATAAAGACTGATAAATCCTTGTTATTAAACAAACAAGCAAACAAACAAATGTGAGAGAAAATACCAAACAATGCTTACTTGAATTAATTCTTGAAATAGAGTCAAATTTTCCTGGCACAAATAACCACCAGCAACAGGAAGAACAAAATTACCATAGTACAGTACTTCAAAGAAACATTTAAAGTTAGCTCAATAAGACACTGAGGAGAGACTGAAGGCAACAAAAATTTAGAAAGTAAATATGTTCATAAGAAGTGAAAATGATAGACTTATGGAATATTATTAAATCTTAATTCTATTTCAACTTGAATAAAGCTTTAAGTTGCAGAGAAATTCCACAAACAGGCAAATAATCACACAGAACATTAATTACTATGCATTGCTTATGAAGGTACAGCATTAACAGAAAGAACATACAAAAGGTCTGAAAGGTTACAAAAAAAGGGGGAAAAAATCCCCAAGAATGCTTGCTTCTGGGAAGTATAAAAAGGACACATATTAGGTCTGGTGGTTAAAGACAGTAATGACAGCCTTTTCATTTTCTTAAGAGGAAAATTTTGAACAAATATAGTTAAATGCCAACAGCTATTAAGTTTGGTGGTTGGAATATGAATTACTATTCTATTGTCATTTTTTTAATCTTTCACATTTTGCAAAATAAATGAATTTTATACCATGTACCCACAGGAGAGCGTTTTCATTTAGTCCCACTTACTAAATTTTATTGTGTCTTAGGAAAAAATTCAAGAGGGAGATGGATTGTGGAACTAACTGGACTTAAGAGTAGGAGAAGCAATCCTGAATTGCTGGAATTTTCATACTCCATCTGCATCATCCCAACAGAATCTTAAAAGCCTTTTTAAAAATCTAAAAACATATGACAAACTTAAAAAAGTTTGGAGCTCTGGTGGCCTAGTGGCAAGGAGCTGCAACTACAATCCTAGAGGTGCCCAGTTCGAATCCACCAGATGCTCTGCCGGGGAAGGAGGAACAATCTCCTCCTGTACCAGTCAGATCTGATTTGACGGTACACTCACACAAAAAATAATAATTAAAAAAAAAAAAAGAAAAGAAAAGTTTGAGGTACAGTTGTAAGTTTATAGTTCTCTAATCACCTGAGTATCTAATATTCATTGGAAGGTAATTTACTTAAAAAAAAAAAAAAAAAAGGTAATTTATTGGTTTGCTTGATAAACAAGTAGCAAATCAACCTAAAAAGTTAAAAATGTATTATTTCCTTGCTTTATACTGTGTCAAGATTGTAGGTTAATTCATTTATTTTCCAAATTTTACCTGTTTCAGCTTCTGATTCTGAGTCATCTTCCTCCTCTTCTTCACTAGAGCAACTAGATTCATCCTTCTTTCCTTCTTCTTCATCATCAACCTTTTCTTGTTCCAATGATTCAATGCGGGATGCATTCTTCTCTGGCTCTATTATCAATGTCTCTTTGCTATGCAAAGAAAAGAGTTTTCAAATACTTATAAATACAAATTGTAAAAAATACAACAGTTTTTCTCAGATTCACAAAATTAAATATTCACATTTATGACCATTAGCAAAATAATTCCTAATTATAACAAATTCAACTTTAATATACTACTTACTTTTTAAAAGTCTTTTGTGACTGATTATTGTCCATATTAGCAGTTGATTCAATTAGTGGCGATTTCTTATCTCGTTTTTCATTATGGAGCTATATAAAATGTTAAAATAATAAAAGAGAAAATAATAACATTATTAATGTTGTTGTTGCTATATGCCACTGAGTCAGCGGTGACTCATAGTGACCCTATGTACAAATGCCCTAAGCCCCACTCTATCCTGTGCCAATCTCACTATCTCTGAACATTTACCCTCATTACCCTTGTGACAGAATCAATCCATCTCACTGAGGGTCTTCTTCTCTTGCGCTGTCCCTCCACCCTCCCAAGCATGACATCCCTCTTCAAGTACTAATCTCACCTTGGAACGTGTCCAAAGTATGTCAGATGGAGCTTCAGACTCCTTGGCTCCAAGAAGCATCTTGGCTTTACCCTCTCTAGGACAAATCTATTTGTTCTCCTAGCAATCCATGGTATAGTCAAAACATTTCTCTAGCACCAGAGCTCAAAGACATCAATTCTCCTTCAATTATCCCTAGTCTTTGTCCAGCTTTCGAAAGCATAGCAAGTAACTGCAAAGACCATGGCCTGGATCAGGGGCACCTTAGTCTCCAGAATGGCATCATTGCTCTTCAGTACTTTGGAGAGGTCTCTGACAGTAGACTTCCCCAAAGCAATTTGTCTTCTGACTTTCTGGCTGCTGGTACCAAGAGTGTTGATTGTGGAGCCAAGCAAATGAAAGCTGTTAACAATCTCAATCTCTCTTCACCACCTATCATGTGCTGCCAATTGGCCCAGTGCTGAGAACATTTTCATGTTGAGCTTCAATCTGTTGAGCTTCAATCCATATTGAAGACTGTAGTCCTTGACCTTCTGCAGCAAGTGCTTCAGGTCCTCCTCAATTTCAGCAAGCAGGGTTGTGTCATCTGCATAAAGCAGGTTGTTGATGAATCTTCTTCCAATCCTGATGCCACATTTCTCCTCATAGAGACCAGTTTCTCAGATAATTTGTTTTGCAGATTGATATATTTAAATAGTGTGGAGATAGGATACATTCCTGGAACCATGAAGTGTTTCTTTGCTCTGTTCTGATGACTCCCTCCTGGTTCAAGTATAGGTTTCTCATTAGCAAATGAGAATCAAATGCTCTGGGATTCTTCTCAGAGTCAGCCACAGTTTGTTGTGATCCACACAGTCAAATGCCTTTGTATAGTCAATGAACGGATAGACATTCCTCTGGTACTCTCTGCTTTCAGCCAAGATCCATCTGATATTAGCTATAATATCCCTAGTTCCATGGCCCCTTCTAAACCTAGGCTGCACTTCAGGAAGTTCTGTTGATGTGCTGTGCCAGTCGTTTTTGGATAATCTTCAGCAGAATCTTGCTTGCATGTGACTATACACCACATAAAATAATATCAAAGTAATTTTTCAAAAAAATAATAAAAGGAAAAATCATAAAAGATTTTTATTTTATCTCTGAAAAGTAAAGAAGAAAGGACTGGATAGTTAAAAAGTTCAGGCAGAACTAAGTGAGATTGTCTTAGATTTCTCCAACTTTTATTTCTTCAAAGAGTCAGGGTTTAACAACCATTTATGTCTGATGGTATTTTACTTAGATCATGTGTATTTTCCAGTTAAATGACTGCTAGATTATCTAGGATCTGCTATTAAAAACTTGAGGTTTAAAAAAAGAAAATTTGAGGTTTATTGAAGCTTTAACTTCAAGTTAACTTTGAAGTTCCAAAAATCATGTTAATTCTAGGAAACACCTATATTATATGAGTATTCATTTTACTTATCAAAGGAAGGAAGCAGAAACAGGGATAAGCAATTCAAAATAAATATCATCAACATTCCTTTATCCTTTCACTGTAGTTTCATTATGGTCCAGGCTGGGTTTAGAAGGGGTCGTGTTACTAGGGATATTGTAGCTGATGTTAGGTGGATCTTGGCTGAAAGCAGGGAAGAATGTCTATCTGTGTTTCATTGATTATGCAAAGGCATTTGACTGTGCAGATCATAACAAACTGTGCTGACTCTGAGAAGAATGGGAATCCCAGAACATTTAATCATGCTAATGCGAAACCTATACTTGGACCAAGAGGCAGTCATCACAACAGAGCAGGGCAACAATGCATGGTTCAAAATTGGGAAGGCAGGGGGAGCTCTGGTGGCCTAGTGGCAAGAAGCTGCACTGCAATCCCAGAGGCGCACGGTTCGAAACCACCAGATGCTCTGCCGAGGAAGGAGGGGCAATCTCCTCGTGTACGGTAGACATGCACACACACAAATAATAAAAAAATAAAAATTGAAAAAATTGGGAAGGCTGTGCGCCAGGGATGTGTCGTATCTCCACACCTTTTCAACCTATATGCAGAGCAGATTATCCAAGAGGCTGGGCTCTATGAGGAGAAGCGTGGCATTAGGATTGGTGGAAGATCTATCAACAACCTGCGTTATGCAGATGAGGACCTAAAGCGCTTGCTGCAGAGCGTCAAGGACTGCAGCCTTCAGTATGGACTGAGGCTCAATGTCAAGAAGACCAAGATTCTCGCCACTGGACCAATTGGCAGCATCAGGATGGAAGACGAAGAGATTGAGATTGTTCACAGCTTTAGTTTTCTCGGCTCCATGGTCAACACTCTTGGCACCAGCAGTCAGGAAATCAAAAAGTGTATTGCGATGGGAAAGTCTGCTGTTAGGGACCTCTCTAAAGTACTCAAGAGCAATGGTGTCTCTCTGGAGACTAAGGTGCGCCTGATACAGGCCATGGTCTTTGCAATCACTTGTTATGAAGAGTTGGACATGACTAGGGAGGACAGAAGGAGAATTGAAGCCTTTGAGCTGTGGTCCTGGATGTTCCACGGACTGCCAAAAAAACAAACAGATCCATCCTAGAGAGGGTTAAACCAGGCTACTCCTTGGAGACAAGGATTCTGGGGCTTCGTCTGACATACTTTGGACATGTTGTAAGGAGAGACAGGTCCTTGGAGAGGGATATCATGCTTGGTAGGGTAGAGGGACAGCGCACGAGGGGAGGACTCTCTATGAGGTGGATTGATTCAGTGACTGGGGTAATCGGGATGGGTTTGTCAGAGGCAATGAGATTGGCACGGGATAGAGCACAGTTTAGGGCTGTTGTACACAGGGTCGCTATGAGTCGCAAACGACTCAACAGCACATAACAACAACCACAACAAAGCAGTATTTTAATATATGTGACGTTCAAGGCCACTAAGCAAGAGTATTTGTTAATATGAGCAATTTTTAGACTATTGTTAAACATACCAGATTTTGTTTCTTTTGCAATTCTTCTAAATATCCTAAAATGTTTTCATCGGCTACATCAAATGCAGTCTGACCCTGGATAGGAAACCAAGGAAAAGGTGATGGTAAAAATAAGAAAAATATATAGAGTGGCTTGAGTGATTCTATATGATACAAATGAAGAGAGGGGAGATAATATTTGTAGGGCAGTTTTAAGTGATACTGTATATATGACTCTACTGAGATATATGAAAAGCAATTTGAAAGAGAAACATTCAACAAATCCCATTTTATTCTTTTTTTAGGGAGGAGAGCAACTTTACTGATATAATTCATAAACCACACAATATATTCAAGGTTGTATAACCATCACCGCAATAGAAAGCAGAGAATTTATATTACCCTCATAAAAATATCACACCCTTTAAACATCACTCTTTATTCTCTTTATGTTCCCTCTTTCCTATCTGAGGCAACCCCTAACCTATATTTTCTCCATTGTTGTTAGGTGTGAGTGATCACTTTCAATTCATAAAGACCCTAGAATAAAAGAATGAAACGCTCTCACAGAACCGCAGTATGCATTCCCTGTAAAAACAAACACAACTACAACCCTCAATTCCTGGCATTATGCCATCCTCACAATTACTGTTATGTGAGGCCATTACTGCAGTCAAGTCAGCCCCTTCTGCTGAGGGCTTTCCTCTTTCCACTGACTGTTTTACAAAGCATGTTGTCCTGAAACTGAATTCTCTCAACAACAAGTCCAGAGTATATGAGACAAAGTCTAGTTATCTTCATTTCTAAAGAGTATTCGAGCTACATGTCTCTCAATACAGATTTGTTTGTTCTTCTGACAGTTCACAGTATATTCAATATTCTGTCAACACCGTAATTCAAATGCATCAATTTTCCCCCAGTATTCCTCAATAACCATCTCTAGCTTCTGTATGCATATTAGGTGACTAGCCAAAACCACTGACTTTGAAAAATGAACGTTAGTCCTCAAGATGTCATTTTTGTTAACATTTTAAAGAGGTCTTTTGCAATAGATATGTTCAATGCAATATGTAGTTTGATTTTCCAAGCAAAAGGAATTCCATAGTAACTTCAATATTTTTTCTATTTATGGTGATAGTGCTTAATGATCCAGATGTGAAGATTTCTATTTCTTTTATGTTAAGGTGCAACTCATACTGAAATTCAGTCTGATTTTCATCAGTAAATCCTTCAACTTCTCACAATTTCTAGCAAGCAAAGTTATGATGTCTTCATATCACAGGTTAATGAGTCTTTTCCTAACCCTGATGGTAACACTAATACTGATTTTAAACCATGCAGTTCAGTACTCTCTTATAATTCCTGGTAAAACAATAAAGAATATGTTTATAAATGACCAGTCAAATGGCTAATGTAGAAAGTTTCAATTATTAGTCCAGAAAAGTAATCTGTTTCTATTAATTGTGAAAAATTAAGTTTTGTATTTTCTATTTTATATGCTGACCAATCATAAGAATATTTTCCCCACTGCTGGATCAGTCTTTATAGTGACCTTAATGGCATAAAAGATCAAAAGTGCACTATTTAATCTACTATCTCTCTCTTATGTTCACTGGCTTATGATCTTTTTTTAAAAAAATTCCTTTTTTCACCTAGAAAATGAAGAGTCCCTGTGCGTCAGATTTGGCCTGAAGGCAGTGAGGTGTTTAATTTTTCAAACAAAAAGTAAGTTCACATTTCTTTCATACCTCATCTCATTGCTGTTGAGTTAGAACCAACACATAGCTGACCCTTCAGTGGATTTTCATGTGGCTGTATGTCCTACGAGAGGAGACTGTCCATCTTTCTCCTGTGGAACTGCTGGTAGATCCAAACTGCTAGAAAGCTGCCATCTTTGGGTTAGCAATGTGATACCCTACAGAGCACTTTCACATTCACCACCAACTCAGGACACATAGAGGGACACATAGAGGATCAGTTGTTGCTAGCTGCTGCCTAGTGGGTCTCCATGCTGCTGATTCATAAAAACTCCATGCACAGGACCCTACACAACTCTAAACTATAAAGTTTTCACTGGCTCACTGTCAAACATGAATTGCTGAGCTTCCTTCATAGTCCATCGTATTCTGGAAGCTCCTCTAGAAACCTGTTTAGTATCACAAGACACAAACTCCAATGATAACTAGTGACTGCACTTGAGGGAGAACTAGATTTCCTGCATGTAATTTTATCACTGAATCAAACTAATATTCCATGTGAAACAAACAGCAATTCTATCACAACAGAATTTGCTGACATCTAATTGGGAGAGAGTTTGATTTGCATTCACTGTAAATCTCTATTCTGTACTCCCAGGGATCACATAAGTGGGTTCAACCAAATCAGGATGGAAAATATAAAATGGGAGGTAGGTAGGAGGAATTCTGTGAGCAAAACAATTCTGCAGTGGCTAAGAGAGAGTGCAAAGTGTTATTTACAATGTACTCTTGTTATGCACTGTCCAGTTAAAGCCAACTGCTAACTGACTCTCCAGTGGTTTTTCAGAGGCAGTAAATTGTACCGGAGGAGACCGCCCATCTTTCTCCTGTGGAGCAGGTGGTGTATTTCCACTAAGCCACCAGAGACTGTATTATTGTTATGTGCCATCGAGTCACTTTCAGTCATAGTGACCCTATGTACAACAACTCTGAACTCTGCTCTATCCTGTGCCAACGTTATTATTATCTCTAACAAACCTACCTCCCTTACCCCCCCAGTCAATCCATCTCATCACAGGACTTCCTCTTTTGCACTGTCCCTCCACCCTCCTAAGTACAATGTCCCTCTCCAAGGACTGGCCACTCCTTGCAACATGCCCAAATTATGTCAGACGAAACTTCAGAATCCTTGTCTCCAAAGAGCAGCCTGATTTCACCCTCTCTAGGATGAATCTGTTTGTTCTTCTAGCAGTCGATTCTACACTCTTCTGCAGCACCACAGCTCAAACGCATCAATTCACCTTCTATCATTCCTAGTTATCTGACTTAAAGCAAGCCAATGTGAAGAAAATGGCCTAAGTCAAGCATATCTTAGTCTTCAGACTGACATCACTGCTCTTCAGTACTCTGGAGATGTCTCAGACAGACTTTCCCAATGAAATTTGTCTTTTGATTGCCTGGATGTTGGTACCAAGAGTGTTGAGTGTGGAGCCAAGCAAACTAAAGCTGTTTACAATCTCAATCTCTTCACCATCTATCATGATACTACTGCCAATTGGCTCAGTGGTGAGCAGCTGTTTTCTTAATGTTGAGCTTTAATCCACATTGAAGGCTGCAGTCCTTGACCTTCTGCAGCAAGTGCTTCAGGTCCTCTTCAGTTTCAGCAGGACTGTGTCATCTCCATAACACAGATTATTGACAAGTATTCCTCCTATCCTGATGCTACATTACATTCCTCCTCATAGTGCTTAGTCTCACAGCTATCTGTTCTGCCTATAGATTGAAAAGGTATGGAGATAGGACACAAATCTGGTACACACTCTTCCCAATTCTGAACCATGTCGTGTTTCCTTGCTCTGTTCTGATGACCGCCTCCTGATCCAAGCATAGGTATTGCATAAGCACGATCAAGTGTTCTGAGATTCCCATTTTTCTTAGAGTCAGCCATAGTTTGTTGTGGTCCACACAGTCAAATGCCTTTGCATAGTCAATGAACAAGGCATTCCTCTGGTATTCTCTTTATTAGGTATTATAAAAACTATAGATAATAACAAGTACATAGGAGGCTTAGGGTTATGGTTACTATTGCCAGTGAAGATCCCTGGTTGCACAGTGAGTTAAGTAAATGTTAGGATTCTAACAGAAAGGTTGACAGTTTGAGTCCACCAGCTCTTGTGCAGAAGAACGACAGACAGCTTATGCAAAGATTTTCAGCCTTGTAAATCTTACGAGGTAGTTCTACTTTGACCCACAGAAGCCCTAGGAATCAGAACCAACTCCATGACAAAGGGTTTAGAGATGATTTAAAGTATCTGAGAAGTGTGTTATTGTTTTCATGTGCGGTCAAATCAGAAGTGACTACTAGCTGACCATCTAACGGATATTCAGAGGCAGTAAATCGCACAGGAGGAGACTGCTGATCTTTTCCCCATGAAGCAGCTGGTGGAGTCAAACCACCTGCCATGAGTTCAATGCACAGCTCCTTACCTACTAGATCACTGGAGTTCCATAGGTTATATGCAAATACCATGCTACAAAAGAACTTGTGCACCTATATTTATAGTGTCTGAGGGGTGTTTTAGAACCAATCTTTTCTGGTTACCAAAATTTCCCCCTTGTCTATTTATGAATTAAAAAGATAAAGTCAATGGAATATATTTTTAAAGTACTTAAAATGTTACTTTATCTAGAAAAGTGAGTTTGTGTATTTAATCTTGTAAGACTGAAAGACACTACTTTTGTCTTTTCTTGTTAGTAAGAATCTTGGTAGTAGTCTTTTTCCACTCATTTTTGTTTTCATTTTAATCTTGTGTAAAAGACGCTAAAAATTAAACTCTGAAGAATGAACTGTTCTGAAAGAAAAGAGCTGACTTGAAATTTTAAGGTACCAATTACACTAATGCTAACTCTGGTTTTGTCTTATCTTTGAATAATCACTTCTACAATATAAAGCAAACACACAAGAAAAATGTGTTTAAAACCATGATTTACACGAAAATGAAAATGACTGACTACTTTCTGAATAGTACTGTCAAAATTTACCAACATTTTCCATGAATGAAATATCCCACCTTTATAGTATTATTTTTAATTGTAATGAAATTTTAAGTAGCAGTTAAATGCAGTGGGAATGTCTTAGTAAGAATTTCCTTTTTTAAGAATAAGAAATTTAATCACCTTACTAACCTTTCTTTTCACTTTCTCCCTTGATAAATGAGTCTACTCTGCAAACAGCAGCTGACAGAGAATAAAAATTAGAGTAAAATACAGGCTATAAACAGAGAAAAGGTTCTAATTTCAAAAAAATCACTAATTAATTTAATCCAGTAACTTAATCATATAATTATGAAAGCTGATAATTATGAGACTATAAACATATTTGAATCTTAATCAGGATAA